CCCCAAAACCCCAAAACCCCAAAACCCCAAAACCCCAAAACCCCTTCAAAAGCCTGGCAGATTGTTACGATTAATTATTATTTATGTCAAAAAGCAAATTAACTTTATATACGAACGTCTTCTCTCCTTATTCGAGAACTGTTATGAGTAAGTCAATTTCTTTCATGATTTCATAGACATCCTCGCCTTGCTAGAGATAGAGCATGAGGAGTATGTCATCGATCTGCTGAATGGAGAGCAGACCTCAGAGTGGTATAAGAAGATCAACCCTAAGATGAAGATCCCGGCGATTAAGGATGGGGATCATTGAATGGGAGAGTCAATTGACATTTGTAAGTATCTTGTGGAGACCAGGAAGCTGAAGACTCCTGCCTGGCCTGTGGACGATCAGGAGAAGATTGATCAGATGGAGAGGGATCTGGCTAAAGTAGATGAGCTAGCTTCTGCTTCTGGGAATGTGTCTTATAATTGCTTTTATAATCAGTTTGCTGGCAAGAAACTTGCTGGAAAAGAGTTGAAAAAGAAAGTTTTGAATGAACTTTATCTTGTGTACGATCGCTTTGAAGAAACCCTTGCAGAAAGAAAAACTAAATTCTATAACTCAGATGGTAGGATACAAATCTTCTAACCTTCTAGATCATCCTGGCCTCCAGGACTATCTCACCTATAACTTTATCAAATACCTAACTTCAATCAAGCTATCCTCTCTAGCCGGATATCCTGTGCTTATGCAATGGTTCAATGACTGTGAGAAAGTGCCATCAATTGCTGTGGTCTCCACCAGACTTGAAAAGGAGACTGCCAGTCTCCTTTTCAAGATCAGATGGATCAACCCACTCAAGAGATTCCTCACCTGCAGATGCTGCTGCAGAAGATAATTTCAGAGAATGATTTTGAACTGATCGGGATCCAAAGAATTTCGTATCTCTCAGTTTGAGTTATATAAAAACCTGTCAGTTTTTGGTGATCAAACGGGGTTTTGGGGTTTTGGGGTTTTGGGGTTTTGGGGTTTTGGGG